GCAGATTGGGTGGGGCTTGTTGGAGGTTCCATGGATCCATAAGCTACGACGCGATGGCCACCAGCAGGATATCTTCCATTGGAGAGTCGTTCGAGTTGCCGTCCAGCAAGCATAGTAGCTCCTTTTCTCCCAGAACCCTCGACTACTTTCTCTACAGCGAACCAGTCGGCTCCATCCCAGACCTCCAGGCCAGGCACATCCCCCACCACCACACTTAGTAGTCCTAGATCAGCATGCGGTTCAGCGACGACCTTCGCTTCCCATCCTTCATATCGAAATAAACGCAACATCGTCGCTGTTTTCTTCTTATCTGAATCTTGAAATAAACCACAGGGTCCTACGTATTGCTTCAGTCCCTCATCTTCGCCGTCTGGCAATCCCAGGGACGTCGAGATTCTGCCCAACGTGTTTTTGCAGTGTTGTCCGATGAGATCCCAATATCTCTCAGCAGGCTCTCTTAAGACTTCCGGGCAATACTCCAGGGTTCTCAAAGTGATGAATTCCTTTTCTCCTGGGATCTTGGACCAGCCCTCTTCAGACCTAAGTTTGTGCTTCCATTGCTGCTTTTCCTTATCGGGCTGGTTGAAGAAAGCTTGACTTGCTGCGAATAGCTGCTCGTAGGCAGTCTGAAGAGGATGAGATCCAGGCTCTGGCGCATGGGGCTCGTTCAAGTCTGGGGATGATTGTGCTGACAAACAGTTTGGAAAAGTGACAGTGGTCCAACCGAGTCTCGATAGAGTTTGTTGATGCTCTGGTAGGACTAAGGGTAACATTCCCGGCTTCAGTGGCGGCCGCGCTTCTAGTGGTGCATCTTGCACTGATTGCGCACCGTTCTTGTCGTTGCCCGTCGTTTTCCTTACCCGAAATTTTGAGATGATGCTTGAAATGGAGAAGTGGTGCTTGGATGAGCTTGAGGGTAGTGTGGCGACCATATCAACTAGTTATTAAGATACAAACACGTTGGCTGCGAAAGAGGAACTATAGGCAAAAGAACATTGGAAGTACAGCGGAGGAAGGTCAGAAATTATGATTACGGGTGTGGTCAGGGTATAGTAAAGATACGGCATGGAACAGCCAGGTGACGTTTTCCAGGCTACACGGGCCAAGCCACAATTGCACAGCCCCACCATCCACGGGTAGGCTTACGGGCTATTGCAAACAAAGCGTGCCGGTCAAGACCAGAACTTGCACGGCATATTTCAACGATGAATCCAAATACAAACAGGTATTTACACGGGACATAAAATGGTGAACATGCTGCGATTCATCATATCTCTACAGCCTCAACCTATTCTTGTCCCAAAGCTCCCTCTCCCTTTGCACGAACCAATCGTGCAAAATGGGATTTAACTTGACAATCCCATCATTCGTCTCACACCCAAACTCCATACCAGGTTTCCACGTCCCTCCCTCAGCACTGATTTTCATACTAGTCATGTTTTCCAATCGACACAGTGCTAGACCCACATCTCCAATGCCTCTGATGAACTTGCCTGCTGCACGCCCCTTCTTGATATGTCCGTTTTCATCTAGCTGCTTAATGTCAGTCCCATGTTCCGGTAGGGCAGCTGTTTTGCCGGGGTTGTCGATATGGACAGGCAAGATGCGCTTCCGGACGATGCCGGTGTGTTTTGTGCGAATGGTAAGTTCCTGGCCAACGTAACAACCTTTCTTGAAGTCTATACCATGCGAGAGATCAATATTGCACTCCATTGGCAATGCGCTCTCTCTTGCTATCTCTTGTGGTCCTTCGGGTATGCCATTCCTGTAGCGTTGGAGGTGGTATTCTCGTACGTCCACTGGCTCGGCTCCCTCTATTACCGTTGTTGTATTTGCGCTCGCGAGATAACGACGCATATCTGGGCAGCGTGGATCGCTCATTTCGGCGATTATACTTTCTGATCTGCGTTGCCCGGCTTCTGAGCCCCAGGCCGCCCACACGCCTATCTCATCTGCACTCACATCCGAAATCTGCACCTTGCTCCGGAGTTTGTGCCTCTTTAGATGCTTTTTCAGAGACTCGAATTCACTCTCATCAACTTCAATGTAGCATGCCCAAGGCTCCTTCTCCTGCACCAACTTTGGCCACACCCAGACAAACACATCCCACAACACTCTGCCGCGCGCATCGAGAAAGGCTGCGTAGAAGGGCGATTGTCGGCTTTCGTCGACTTTATTCGTAATGAGCCCTTGCAGAAACTTCACAGTATGGGGGCCAGTAAGGGAGATAAGGCGGCGATGCGGAAGCGCTGCGAAGTTCGAGCCAGCAGCTTGCGGAGAAGCCTCTATCGAGTAAGGGCGTCCCGAAGATATTTCACGAGCATTCCTAATGGCTGATGGTCGAATGTCGGCTCGATTGCGAAAGAACGAAGGGGCTATCGGTCGCGTTGAGATTCTGTCGTTTGAAGACGACGCGGTGCTAAATGTTCGGTGCGCGTCGGCGGCGGGTCTGGGCAGACAGCGCAAATTCGTCCTGCAAGCATCGCATATATATTTGGGCGTCTTTCGTGATGCACCCAGCGATAAGGCAGCCATGATGGTGACCAGGTTCTCGGTGTGAGATGAGGGACGTGATGGACAAGAAAGAGCTCTGACGGCATGCGGCATTTGCGGAGTTAAGACTAGACTAAGAGGTGATCGAATATGCCAGATCTGACTCCTCGAACTAAAATCACTATTCAGAACGCTAGAAACGCCTAATCTACAAGACAGAATATGAGCACACGCTATCGATTTGAAAAGCGTTCTCGGACATTCAACGCCGCTGCTCAATAATTCGAAGTATGGTCGCGTCAAGCCAAGAACTAGTCGTTCTTACGACCCGTTAACCTTGAACGCTCGCTATTGCCCTCTTTTGGGCTCGCCGGCCCTGACTCGTCGTCACTCTCGTCACTCTCGTCACTTTCGTCACTACTCCACTTGTCGTCCTCGCCTACAGCGAAGATGGTATCGCCATCAAGACTCTCCCTGGGAGGAACAATGGGCTTCTGTGCTTGTGGTGCCGGCAATGGCGACACATCGCGCGCGTTGTTGTTTGACCTCTGCGCTGGGTCGTAGGATGGAGGCTGATCTGAGCCTCTTTCCTCTTCATCAAGAGAATCTCTGAGGGATGCGATCTCGAAACCTTCATCATCTTGGGCAATCTAGAGTCGTCAGTAAGAATGTATAAATGGTATAGTTGTATGAACGTACCTCATCACTCATGGCAAATCTCCGGTTGTTGGCTGTTGGCCTCCACATGTACGCAACAAAACACACATCCGCCAAGTAGACAAGATTTAGCCAGCCGTCAAGCACGAACCATCGTGTTTGCCAGTGTGTCGGAGCAAAGTCGGGGGTCGAAGCTCCGGCGAAGGTGAAGCTGTTGATGAAGAAGAAACCGAAAATGACAATAATGCTCGTCAAAATGCACCACCATAACCTCTTATACATGGTAGCTTTGACGTGCTGCTTTCGCTCCATCAAATCCTTCATCGTAAGGTTGAGCGAGTTCAGGGTCCAGATGTAAAACGCCGTAAGTGTGGCTGAGAGTGGGAGGATGACCAACAGAACTAGAGGTCCGGCGTCATCGGGACGAACAGTAAGTGAGGCTACAGCATAAATTACGCCAAAGACGAAGTGTGCTACAGCAAGCCAGCGGACGACCGTCATTGTCTTGCCGAGGGAAGGCTTGACGACGCCATATCCCATACATACGATCAGGAGCAGGAAGAAGGAGAAGGAGTTACGGAAAGCGTTGAGTACGGCGACGACAATCATGAGTGCCTTGGTGCCGACGTTGTTACCGTGGCGGTTCTGGTAGTCGTAATAGCCCCAAGTCATCAGCATCTCGATGACCAGAAATACTAGGATAGCAGTGATGTAGTTTTGGACGGCAAGAATATCGTGACGGTTCTGGAAGTAGAGGAAGCCCCAGAATGCCAACACAACAAAATACACAATGGTGATTCCGCCGTAAAAAGGCAGCTTTGCGATCTGGGCGGCTTGCAGCTCTCCATAAGCGTTCCGAAAAGTCACGATAGCCTCGAATTGCAATTGCTTGTCTTGCGCATTCGCAGCCACACAGTAATAGCCAGTTTTGATTGGTACTTTGGTCTCTGCGGTGGAGATCGGGTACTTGATTGCTTTCGGGTCGTTCAGGTCGATAGCTTCGGTCCTGATAGGCATTTGCCAGAGGTTCTCGACGTCTTCCGCGAGTACCCATTCGCCTTTATGTGTGCCGTTGCAGAGGTTTAATTTGATCGATTCGTCGTCGCAAATGTAATGGCGGTTTTCCTGAGAAACTTGTCAGTTGGATCATCCAGATACCATGCAAGGCCCACATACATCGTTCACGGGCAAATCGGAAGGTGCGCCCAGAAGCAAAGTGTCTTTCCATTCCCAGACCACGACACTGACAGTCTGGTCCTTGATTCCTTCGTTCTTCTTCGGATCTTTTATGAATTTAACAAGTATGAAGGGGTCGACCTTGCCTCCCCACGACTTCTTGCTGTACATGCCACTGGACTTTGGATCAGCATGCTGTCCATGTGTAACTCATGGCCCGGCATTTTCCTCATACCTGCATTTTTGGGTCTCCTTATCAGACAGCGTCACGTCCATCGCTGCTACTGCTGTCACAGTAGTTAACAGCAGTAGAGCGAGGTTGCGCAGCCGTGCCTTCATCTTGCCGCGATGTGAGGCCAGCTGGCGGAGCTGACGGCTGGGGGTTTACAGCGCTTCAGGCGGAGGGATGCGGTTCGAGTCGAGTCGGCGATAGTGTCTTTCCGTCAATTCCTGGTCCAAGACGGGTCATGGGTGTAGGGTCGTGTTTAGTTGTCGATGTTTAGCTTGCGCGTTCGTCACCTACGAGTCCGCCTTCCCGGTAGCTCTTAGCGCGCTTCCTAGAATGTGGCGCAGCCTTGGAGCCTTCAATGGGCAACCATCACCGAAACAGCCGACCAGTCAGCCCTACCAAGCCCTTTCACCAATAACCCCCCCCCCCAAAAAAAACAAGACACATGCACATCATGCCAGGCAAACACATGGCTGGCACCTCTGATGAGCCTTGCAGGCGATGCAAAGACAATATTTCCGTCCTCGTTGTGCGCTCTGAGCCACTTTGCCAGTCAGTCTACGCCACCTAGAGGGGAAGAAGAATTTGCTAAATTTGTGCAGTGACTGTTTTGCCCGCTATGTGCATACAAAATGCATCAAGCGCTTGGAGTCGTTTCGTGTGAATTTTGGAGCCGAGCAGCAACGTAGGATTCTAGTACCCCTGTCGTTCGGCGTCTCATCTATAACTCTCCTTCATATACTGGATCTGCATCTAAAGACGCAAAAGAGCAAGACTGGCCGGACCGGATTTGAGATCAGCGCGATATACATCGAAGATCCGGAGCAGAAAGTGCAGGCTGCTCAGCTGCTCGACAAGGCTCGCGAACAATACCCGGACCATCACTATGCCTCACTGCCGTTGCACGATGTATTTCGCATGGTCCCAGACGATGCCTCAATCCGGTCTCTGGTGCCACGGACCGAGGAAACCGTAGGCTGGAGCCCTGAGGAGCATTTCGTTCGCATGATTAATTCGCTCACATCGGCAACTGCTCGTGCAGACGTGTTGTCTACCCTTCGAACAAGGCTGATCGTAGAATATGCCAAATCGACTGGTTGCGAAAGTGTTCTCTGGGGTGACAGCACCACCAGACTCGCTCAAAAGACACTTGCTGAGACCGCGAAGGGCAGAGGTTTCTCTCTGCCTTGGCAAGTCTCCGACGGATCGTCGCCATTTGATCTCAACTTCCATTACCCGCTTCGAGATGTCCTAAAGAAAGAGCTAGTATCTTACATCAACATGGCCGATCCTGGTCTATCATCACTTGTTCATGAGACCTCATCAGGAGCCACCCAAGCATCGACAAGCTCAAAGAATACCACTATTGACGATCTCATGACGCAGTACTTCGAATCGGTCGAGGAGAACTTTCCAAGTATCGTTGCAAATGTCGTACGCACAACAAGCAAGCTTGAGGCTCGACCCGATGCACTTTCAGACCCAAAATGCAGCCTGTGTAGTATGCCTGTACCTGGCGGTCGATTTGGCATCCATGGCTGGGGTGGTGATCAGCAAGATGGGGATGACTTCGAGTCTACACATGCCAGAAGAGACATCTGCTATGGCTGCACAAGGTCGTTGCCTAAAGCCACAATGAGTACGATCAGTAATTGAGCGCATCGCTGAAATTTGCAATCATTTTTCATCAGCATTGCGAACCATCGCCTACTCTGATAGACCCTTGCACGAAGCTTGAAGGATTTATGCAGAATGGTCTTTCTATGTTCATTTGCTCTCTAGGCCAACATCAATCTACGCGCTCGAGCACTACCGGCAAAACAATCAATAACCTGGCATTATCCTGGAGATCGACACATATTCCCGGATCTTGACCGAAAACACTATCTATACTCATCTATGTCGGTACAACGATTCCCGAGCCTCATGACCAGATGTCCAAGTACACAGTATAAGAGAGCCACAGATAGCTGTTCTATGTTCAACACAACAATCGCAATGAAGCTCTCCAATTTGATAGTTTGTCCTTTGCTAAGCGCATCGACATGTCTCGCACACTGGAACTACGACCGTATAATCGTTAATGGCGAGATCATTGGCTCACCATATGAATACGTTCGCAAAACCAACAATTCCAACTACCCTCTTCAAGACGTTAATTCCATATATATGCGCTGCAACTCCGGTGCAGAATCCGGTGTTGCAATCAACACCAAAACCTACACCGTTGCTGCTGGCGATATGCTAGGCTTCGCGGTCAAGGATACTTTCGGCCACCCTGGGCCACAACAGATTTACCTATCTAGAGCGCCAGGCCCTGCCGCTGAGTACGATGGCTCAGGCGACTGGACAAAGATCTACAGCTTGACCTATTCTTTGAACTCGAGCTACGGCGCCAGCGACGGCATCCTCAAATGGGCAACCCACAACGCGCGAACGTTCAACTTCAAGCTTCCTTCTGAAACACCATCAGGCGAATATCTGCTCCGCGCCGAAGGTCTCGCGCTCCATGCAGCACATAAACCAGATAACTACCAATTCTATATTGCTTGTGCGCAGATCAATGTCGTGGGCAGTGGTGTGGGTGTTCCGGGCCCGACGATCAAATTTCCGGGTGGATACCAGTGGAATTCAACGGGCGTGCTGATACCAGAGTTTTGGAGTAGGATTACGAACTATACGGCTGCAGGACCGACATTGTGGCCAGAAGGAACAATGGAGGCGCATGTTTTGGATGGCACAAAGAAGACCGGCGCGGACTGAGGTTGTGTGGCACCCAGCATAGGCTATGGCTAGCGGAGAAAGCTTGCTCCATTATCATGTCCGTCTTTGCCAACGAATCAAGGCAGACTGCACGTTATACCAATTTCATCTAAAGCTAAGCAGGTCGTCTAAGCATCTAATCCATCCCGCTCAACCATCCATCGAACAATGTCAATGACTTCGCTTTGTTTTCCACTGACGCCCTTCCCAGGTTCTTTCACCATACCCTCAAGCACGTTATCCAACATACCCCTCAACCTACTAACCAGCACTCCGATCCTAGCCCACCCTCTCAACCGTATCCATTCATCTACCACCAGTCCGCGTCCAAGAGTATCAACCTTGATCTCACCAGCAAATAACAACAAGCTGTATGCATTGAAAGGCGTGATATCTCTTATGAAAACTTTACTTGTAGCCATCTTATTGAAGTACGCAACGAAACTCGCATTATGTGGGAATGTCTGACTGGCGAATAGCGTGGAGGAAGGATGAACAAAGACACGTCCGTTTTCCTGATTGAAGTATTTGATCTCGCGGGCTGAGGGGTCAAGTTCTACGGCACCAGCAATTCCAGCGGCGAACTTTTTGTCGGGAAGTTGGATGCGTGCGATTTGTGGGTTGAAAGACCCAGCGATGAGCGCACGGAGGAGTGCGTCATTGGCGTTGTGCTTGTTGTATGACCCATGTGTGGAAGGATTGAGAGAAGAGTAGTGCGTTGGGATAAAGGAGATTTCTTTGAGAGACGAAAGGTACTGCGTGCGATTGGAAGCGATATCGAACATGGTCTGAGGAGAGAGGCGGTTGTCTTGACACCAGAAACGAAGGTCTCGTGTTGACATGCCTTTACTGCGCAATGCAGCCCATTGTTCGTAAGCTCGAAGATCTACAAGCAAGTCTCCTTGGTTGTTTGAGAAAGATGCGCGTAGGCGGTCGAACTCGTTTCGGGTCTCCTGGTCTCGCTCTCGTGGTGATATAAACGGACTGCGAGCGGTCAGGACAGCCGCGATGGTCAACACAGCTTCGAGACAACCGAACGTTGCGCCGTAAACAAGAAGCTTGCCCAGACGAAGATCCGCCGGGATCATGGACATGTGGCGACCAAGAGCGGTCAGTTCGTCGTCGGTAATCGCACCCATCTGTGAGAGTAATCGGATTGCACCCTCCACCGCTGTGCTTTCTGGTGGTGTGAGCGCTGAAGCAAGGAAGCTTGAGACATCCTGAACACCCATCGCCTTGATAGATAGACACATCTGCTCGAGTGGTACACGTCGAATCTCAGGGTCTGGCCGCTCCATCATCTTGGCTTCGGCATTACGTGTATACAGCTTATAGCAGTCACCTGCTCGGACACGGCCTGCTCGACCTCGCCGCTGTTTGCATGCCGCCCTGGAAGCCCAGGTTTCGGCTAGGCGAACCATGTTGTTTTGTGGGTCGTAGCTCGTCTCCTTGACCCTACCCGTATCGATAACGGCAACGATATCCTCAATCGTAATCGACGTTTCTGCGACGTTGGTACATGCGATAACTTTACGTTTGCCGTGGGGAGCGGGAGGGAAGACACGCTTTTGCTCAACAGGCATGAGTGACGCATGTAGAGGCAATGCGTGGAGGTTTGCGAACTGACTGAGCGCTTGAAGTGTGCGATCAATCTCCATGGTACCAGGAAGGAAGATGAGAATGCCTCCATCCTTATCACCGAGCTGACGATCAATGTGACGAACAGTTTCCGCAATGAGGTCGTAGTTGATACCAAAGCCAATACTCCGGAGGTTTGCAGAAAAAGACTTGTCGTCGATGGCCTCTTCATCCCCTGTTCCATACCCCTTGAATCCAGTGAAATGCACAACGTCGTCGACGTAGTAGTCAGTCACAGGGTGGGTGCGGCCTTCGATCTCAACACGGCCCACCGGCCCGACCTCCTTAAAGTACGCTTCAAACACAGCAGCATCGAGAGTAGCGCTCATCAAGATGACTTTGAGATCTTTCCGCTTTCGCAAGATCTGACGTAGTAAAACGAGTAAGAAATCAGTATCCAAACTGCGCTCATGTACCTCGTCAACAACAACATGGCTAACATCGGCTAGTGCAGCAATAACATCGTCGGCATTGCCGCCCGACGTTTGGAGGCGCCTCAGGAGAACACCAGTTGTGACGAATGTGATCTTGGTGACTCCAGGCTTCTGTTTAGACTCTCCACGAATAGTGTAACCAATCTCATCTCCAACCTGAGAGCATCGCTCATCAGCCACACGATCGGCAAGACCAAGCGCAGATATTCTGCGTGGTTGAGTACAGATTATATTCGCAACAGCACCGAGTTGTCGTTGAATCAAGTCATCGAGGACGAACTGCACGGATTGAGTCGATTTTCCTGATCCAGTTTCACCTGAGATAATAGTGACGTTGCAATCATTGACCGTTCGTACGATGTCATCTCTCAACCTCCAAGCTGGGAGTGACTGTCGAGCTTTCATCATCTTTTGCTGAACTGGAGAATTCTGCTTGGCCTGCCAGTCAGACAGCAGCTTTTGACTAGTAGGTGTTTTGGGTGTCCAGTCTATGGGCTTTCTGGGCCTGCCTTTTGCTCTTCTCTTCTGGCTTTGCTGTTCCGACGAATGATCTGCTGCCGCAAGGCCAGATGATACATCGGTCAGTTTCCCTGGGTTCTGGAAGATATCCCCAGCGTTCGATTGGATCCAATCTACGATATCGTAAATCATGGGCATACCAACGAAGTTGGCCTCGGCGTGTAACAGCGCTTGTCGGATGATGCTCAAGCGGATGTAAGCTGGAATGGCCGCTTCAAAAGTAATGATAGGGACAACGGCGGGGTAAGGACCGAAAGGCTTCCTGACCTGCAGTATGAGCCTCTTTCCCTGTTGCTTAACATCTAGCTCGATTCGACATGATTCTGGAGCAGGACGTGAGAACAGACGGTCGTATATGGCTTCAAGAGATGACATTTCCACTTCCCAGGGATCGTCTTCGGGGGACATATCAGGATCACCATCCGTCATCGAAAGATCAGCCAGATCCTGTGCGATAATGCTGTCCTCCTCGTCCGGTCGCAGCAGACGGGCTTGTAGCAAAGCTGCAGCTTTCCTTTCATCGCTGCCTTGGCTGTCGTAAGCCTCCTCGCAGAGATCTGCAGAATATCCGGCAGCAGCAAGGCGTTTTACAGCACCTTCACGCTTGAGATTGGAGCTAGCCATGCTGACGCCAGCCACATAGCCTTCTGGTAATGACCACGATGGCAGGTCATCCTCAGGCACATGGATGAGGAGCCACTCGATGATCTCTTCTCGGTCTTTGCAGATATCGGCAGCTTCTTGGACATGACTCCTTCGGAAGCCAAGCTCCTCTATCTCGTCGACTAGTCGATTTTTGATAGACGTGTCCATCTCGATACCGTTCGGGTTCCACAGTGCGTCCCGGCGGATCAAACGCTCTGCTTCTTTTCGCGTCCTCTTACCCAACTCAATCTTGGGTACCCTCTCCCATCCCTTCAGCAGGTTCCTGCTGGGGGTCGGGCCGTTGGAGTTTGGCATGGCCGCACCAGGCTGTTGGTTATGGGCCTTCTGCGACTCTGCCTGTTGCTTCTGTCTCTTCTCACGCGCCTTCGTCGCTGCCTCCTTCGCCTTCTCCCGCTCTGTGAATCCGAAGAAGGGGTCTGCCTCATACATCCATCCCTTTCCCTCCTGCTCGTCCCTCTTTTTGAGGTCCATGAACTGTCCCTTCCAAAGATCTTTGTACGTTGGGGGGAGCATCATGTGGAGGTTCTTCGCGCTTGCAACTCGAAAGAGGGTATAGGCCGCGGCAAAGTTGCGGGCTTCAACGGCGGTAGGCTGGTGAGCCTGTTCCTCGAGTTCGGAGGGGATTTTGATGGGTGG